TAGGCCATTAAATAGTTCCTAACCATATACACCATTTACACAAAAGACAATCTATATTCATAACTGACTCCCTTAGGAGAAAACTTAAAAGATGGAAAAACATATCTTTTGTAAGCTGTGTTATGCAATGATGCAGAACAACAACTTTCTACAAATTTCATAACATCTCCTTTTTCTTTTCTTTTTTTTTCTTTTATATATTTTCTACATCATTTTTCATTTTTGCACAATGTATGCATTTTCATCTTGGTTATAGTCTCCATACAATTCCCACCACCCTTGTTTTGATCCTACTCCCTCATCCCCCCCCCCCCCCCCCCGTTGTGTGTCTCTGGTTTATAGTGGCTTGTTGATTTTGATTTTTACTTTATTATAATTAATCTTTTTTCTGGTCCCTTATTTAGGTTTTCTAAATTCCTGCTACAAGTGAGACCATCCGGTATTTTTCTTTTTCTTTCTGGCTTATTTCGCTGAGCATGATCCCTTCCAGGGCCATTCATGTTGCTGCAAATTGCATTAGTTTATCTTTTCTGATTGCTGTGTAATAATCAACATCTCCTTTTTCTAAGTGCCATGCCCTGTGCTAACCATACCAACCCCACAATCCTTATTCTATAGGCAGCAAAACTGGCTTTGGGAGTTATCTAATTTCAATTCACCCACACTCCCACAGTCAGATAAGGGAAGAACTGTGCTCTAAACCATGGTGCTTTCACAGAGTAATTTGAGTACATTCATTAAAATTGTCACTTGACAAAACACTCTTCCATGATTGATTTCCCATTATATGATGTCCTAACACATTATGTTCCTAAGTTTATTACCTAAATGTTAATTATTTTTTTGTGCTGATGGAATGGTAATACTGTGTTTTATTATTATCAGTACAATTTGAATACATAAGATGCTTTCCTTTTCTATGGCAATGAAAAAATAATAATGATTTACCTACAGGCATTCTAGCACAGCTAATGATTTGCCTGAAATCTCTGCTGCTGTGGATTTTATGACCTAAGATCTGAAGGAGCTATGCAAAGTGATGTTTCCCTTCCTGCTGAGAAGCAAATGAGTGCACCACAGCAGGTCTGACCCCAAACAGCCAGATTTGTAAAGTCACCACTTAACTCCCAGGGAGAGAAAGCATCCCCAGACAGCAGAGCAAGAATGCTTGGCTGTGCCGAGCTGGAGAAATTAGTGTTGATCCATTCAGCCAACTGTTTGCCTGTATTTTCCACATCAAACTGTCACTTGAATCACTAAGGACATTTCTAATCACTGCACTTTTAAAATGTCAGAAATGATCAATTACAACTAAATTGAAAACTGATATGCAACTTTTTAAAAAGAAGCCCTAAGTTTAAATTTATTCAGTGACTCACTCCTGAAATACTTATGGAGTACTTACTAGGTGCTAGGCTGGGTGCTGGGCATTGAGATAATGTTAACCAAAACAGACAGACAGACATGCCCCCCGCCCCCCACATTCATTGAAATGGTATTCTCCTTGAGAATATGCCAATAGAAACAGGAAACACAAATACCTTTGAGGTATTTAGTACTTTTGATTATCACCTGGAAACTTCAAAATGAAATGCCACTGTCTTAATGTTAGGGAGAAAGGATGTCCTAAAGCTAATCCCATACAGGCTTTGTGGACTCCACCCCCACCCCAGGCCAAAGCCATCAGGACATTGGGAAAGACAAATCCCATCACCACCAAAGGGAAGGTTGCTGGAAGCTGAGGGTGGGGTTAAGCAGCCAGGTTGATATAAAGGCAGACACGTGGGCTTTGGGAGGGTCCCCCATTTTGGCTCTCTGCCAGCTCGCAGTGTCCGGCCAGGGCCAGCTCCGAAAGTGACTTTGGGTTTCCAGGTCGGTGGATCAGGTAGGACGCATTAAAGACTTTATTTCCCTATTTTCTCCCTGAGTTGTACATTTTCCTTATTTCCTTTTCCCTTGTAAATAAACCTTTTATTAACCTTTTGTGTGTGTCTGTAGTGGAGTATTAATAAGTCCCTTTTAAGCGTGCGGGTGAGGACCCACAGCCAGGAACCCGTTTTTATATCGGGGTTGCTCTGTCACATTAATACATGATGGAGTACATCGAAAGTTTTGGCATTGTACTTTTCTCATTTTCCCTTGAGATTTCTATTTACATCACTTGTTTGTCCAAGAGTTGGAGAAATATGATGAAAGAGATGAAAACAGCAGCAGCAATGCTACCACACTCTACGTCAGGGGAAAGCCCACATCCAAAGGGATCACATGTCAAATCATCACATGCTTTGGCTTCTACCTTGCAGTTTCTATCTCTGATTTACTTTAAGTGTCAGAGAAACAGTACACCATGTGGAATCCATGTCACTGACAAAGGCCTAAAAATCTACAGAGACTATTGGAATGCTTCCACTGAGGTTTCTGCAATGCTGTGAACAGCTGCAACCCAGTTCTGGAATCACCTTTGATGGCACCTTCTTCAAGACCAGCAATATGTTTCTCACACCATATGGCTGGCATCGGTGCCCTATTTCCTCTTACCCAACTCTTACCATGGTCCTCTGCCTGCATCCCAAGCTACCCTACCATTCCAAACTTGCTTGTGTACAATTGCTTTGACATATCATAACTCTTTTAAGAGACTGATGAAGTTGGCCTCTTTGTGAAGGTGAACTCTCAACCTTAGCTCAACTTTCCACAATTAACCTGAAGCTATCTTACCAGTTTTCGCTTCTTCTGTCAATTCTCTACAGGTATCTATAAACACTATGCCACAGTTAAAAAAATAATCAGGGAGCTTCATATATACTATAACAGAACAATGGCTAAGATACTCTAAGTGAAAAAAGCCAAGTATAATAAAGCAATGTGGATAGTATGCAGAAATTTGTGTTTATCAACAAAGAATGGGCACATACAGATACATACATATGTCCTAGATCTGACAGACTTTCTCTGGATGAAAACACCACATGGGCACTAATGGTCATCCCTGGGGAGGTAAACAGGGAAGTTTGCGCTTAAGGAAACACTGAGAGAATTGACTTTTTATCATCTATTCTTTCCCCTTTTGATTTTGACATTATGTGACTGTATTTATTTATTTATTTATTTATTTAAATGTTTTTTTTTTTTTTAATAGAGGCATGTTTTATTTATTTATTTATTTGTTTTGTTTGTTTGTTTGTTTTGTTTATACATGCACTGGGTACAGTCAGAAGCACGGGAGGGCGAGAGAATTCACCAGAGCCAGATCGGGGAGCAGAGCAGGCAGAAGGACCGAAGTACACTGCTGAGGGGAGCAGCGGGCGGCAGGAGAGGTCTGCGCGCCATGTGGGACCCTCCTCCGGTGGCCGGGGAGCAGCCAGGGATCGAACCGGCGCCGCAGAGGCTGAGGGCAGCTTAGCAACCCAGCGCTCAACCGCTGCGCCACCGGGGAGGCCCTATGTGACTGTATTTAAATTAAAAACACATTAAAATTTTTAACCTGTGTTCAAGTTCAAGGCTCTTCTTCATACCCAAAACATACCTTGAACTTACTCGCAGTACCCTTGTGTATTAGTACTCCTCCCTTATTCAGTTACTCACTTTTTTTTCTAACTTAATGCCATTTCTCTAAACTGCACAATATTTTCATAGCAAACTACCTATTTTATTTATATATCTTTTTTGTTTTGCTACTTGCATGCATTTTACTTTCCGTATTATTTGTGAGCTTTTGGAGGGCTGTATTAGTCACAATTTTTCACAGCATAGCAACCTGGAGATAATAAACCAAAATTAATACATATGAGGGGTGGAGAATGCAAATAGCTCCAGCTATAGGGAGAGTCCGTGGTGTTGGTTAGTGGTGTGTTCTCAGCGCCTATCAGAGAGCATGTTGAGTGAATAAAAAGGAAAGCCTCCCAACCACAAGCTGACTTTTTTTGTCTTTGTTTTTGGTTTATGTTCTCAGGATTAAAGCTTGGTTCACAAAAACTACTTCTCCAATAATAAAAGGCATGAGCAAGGTTCACGGTTGCAAAATCAAGTATTATTCTACAGGCTACAAATTGCTCAAAACTTTCACAAGAAAGGAAAAGTATCACAAGGGTTTTGAGGACAAATCATTAAGAGATCATCAATCCAATTTAAAAGTCTGAAGTAAAATATTTCTTACACATAATTTCTGTGCTATACTTGACTTCTAAACACTGGCCTTCTCTATTCCTTCCACACACCTGGCCTCTTGGCTTCACCACCACCCCTAATTATCAGCTTTTCTCTGCTCAAGCGTCACGTCACCTCACGTCACCGTCACCATGACTATTTGCAGTAGCTGGATAATCACCCCTCCTGTTCTGTCTTCCACCTTAAATTAGTCACTGTTACTTCAAAATATATACAGGTTATTTGACCTAGATATTTTATTCATCAACTTCTATTTCCCCCTGTACTAATAAATTGTTCCTCCTTTCTCAAATGTAACTTCATACGATCACAGGCATGAGAGAAGCCATCCCAGAAATTTATATTTTAGTCTACAAGTTAGTGCATGAAAACAAACCAACAAACAGCTTTCCTATTAGGAATGGTTATTTTGAATTGTCCTGTGGCTTTCAAATATTTTTTTAAGCAACTATACACACACACACACACACACACACACACACACACACACACTCACTAAAAACTAATGAAGACACTAAATGCTTAATATTCAAAAAATCTAGATAGACAGAAACAAGTTATTGCCATCCCACCACCTCATAACATAATGCTTTCATAAAGCAGCTCTTTCGTCTTGCAAGACGAAGCAATTTCTTTTAGTTGTCCCAGACACAAAGCTGGAATCTATCTATATCCATGTTGTTTAAAACACTGTAAGTTATGCACAGCAGACCAATAGTAATGAGGTATCTTTTTACCTCAGAAAGATAAAGCATTTTCATAGCTATCTGAATATAAAAACCTACATAGTGATAGATATTAAATAATTTTCTTCAAAAGATACTTTTACTTACATCAAGAGAACCTTCATTTATAACAATCATTCCCATGTTCTTCCTCAAAAGCTTGCAGGAATGTCCTAAGTCCAAAGAAAAAATAAATTTATTGATACAATGAATTTGTCTAGAGAGAAGAGGTAAAGATATCAAAGTGATAATATGATGCAAATATTTAAATTTTATCTTGTTCAGATAGAATGACGTTTTTATCCATTTTATTAGGAGAGATGGCAGCAAGATGTTTGCTAGGTTTACAGGATGTTAAAAAGAAATATTGCTTGTTATAGGAGGTAGAAGGGCACTGTCTGGGGTGTGGAGGCTGTCTTCATCAAGTGTTGAGAGAGAGATGTGGCGGTGATTCCCAATGTCTTGAAAACAGACAAATGTGTCAGGAAAATCCCTGATGACCAGCATGGAGAGCAGAAGAAGCGCAATGGCTGCTTCTGTCGGGGGTACGGGAGCTGTTGAGCTCACAGTTCACTCTAGGACATTGATCCCACTGTTCACACACCTTCTGATCTCCTGCCCTCTCTTGCTCTGCTGTACTTCCTTCAGGGAAAACTCACCTACTGGTTAAACCCAACTCTGCCTACTCTGTACCTATCTGAACGCTGCTGGAGAAAAGCACAGCCACGTGCACGCCCTTTGTGCCAGTGGTTTTAACCACATAGAAATGTTGGCTCATCTAGAACTCACATTCCAAATCAAACCTCTTTCCTGAACTCCCAACTCTCACATTTCAGTGCCTAGTTAACAGAAGGCACTTAGGTGTAAAACAGGTACACCAAACTGAATATGTTTAAAACCCAGCCTCCTGATGCCCACTTTTCACCCATGTAAACCTGCTTCTCCTTTAGTTTCCCTCATTTTTGTTAAAGGAAACACTACCTTTCAATACTAAGGTTAGACATCCTTGGAGTTATTCCCAATTCCTTTCTTTTTCTCATACGCCACACCTGAACTTTCAGTCCAACCTGTTGTCTCTACAGTTGAAACACACTCAGAACCCAGCCATTTCTCACTACCTTCTTCATTACCGCTGGGTCCAACCTGGCACCATGTCTCACTGGATCAATGTAATAGCCTCTTCTGTTTCCACCCTTGCTTTCCTTCAACTCCCCTCAGTCTAGAAGGCAGACTGGTCATTGGCGCAGGAAAGTCAGATGATGTCTTTCCTCTGTTCAGAACCATATAACAGTTTCTCATCTCATTTAGAGTGAAGGCAGAGTCTGCACCACAGCCTGGAAGGCCCTAACCACTGGGTTCTGTGATGCTGCTGACCTCTTCTCTTCTTCCCTTGGCATTTCTGCTTTCTCGCTAGAGCAGAAAACAGCTTTCCGTTCTTCGTCCATGTGACAAGCTCCCCCTCCCCCATTTCAGATCTTCCTCAAATGTCACTCTCAGTGAGCTCCTCTTGACCTCTGATTTAAAACTTGAACCCTCTGGCAATGCCCTCCTTCCCTTTCCTGCTTTATTTTTCTTTGCAGCAATTATCACTATCTAATATACTGTGTTTTTTTAGTATGTCTAATATACTAAACATCGATGTGTTTTTCTCACTTTATCATCTGTTCCCTGACTAGGACATGGGCACCACCAAGTAGGGATTTGGGGTTGTGGTTTTTTTTTTTTTTTAAGATTTATTTTTATTTATTTATACATGCACTGGGTACAGTCAGAAGCGTGGGAGGGTGAGAGAATTCACCAGAGTGGGGAGCAGAGCAGGCAGAAGGACCGAAGTACACTGCTGAGGGGAGCAGCGGGCGGCAGGAGAGGTCTGCGCACCATGTGGGACCCTCCTCTGGTGGCCGGGGAGCAGCCGGGGATCGAACCAGTGCTGCAGAGGCTGCGGGCAGCTTCGCAACCCAGCGCTCAATCGCTGCGCCACCGGGGAGCCCCAAGGGGTTGTGTTCTTAATGGGTGCCTGGCAGCCTAGTAACTGGGCACCAGAACCCTTTGCTGAAAGAATGACTTTCCCTACTACATTGCCAGAGACTACCACCGCAGCCTGCTCTGCACACGCGCTTTCACAATGGCAACCTATCTGAACTCTCTCCAGAATTGCTTCTTTTCCTCACACAGCATATGTTTCCTTCACGCAGTGTATATATTCCCAGCATCTATATCCCTCTGTGATAAAATGTGTTTTATCACATTTGTATTTTCAGGCCTCCCAGTTTGAATGCATTCTGCATTCTTGTACATCTTTCTGTTGTGTTTCAACACAAGTGAAAATTTTCATAATCGAGATTAACAACATGTGTGGGTGGTAGATTTAAATTTCTACAAGCCAGCGTTATAAAAACAAGCCAAAATATATCTATTTACAATATCAACGTATTATAAACTTGCAATAATTTTATATTTATAGAATATTGTAATCACTAATCCCTCCAGAAAGGATTGTAGCTAAATATCTCTTGTGAGACAATCCATTTTCTAAAAAATGTGGTTTTGTCTCCTGAATGCCCCTGAAATGGGTCCTTCAATGTTGGGAGAGTTTTATATGTATTTCATACCAGAGAATGACTCTTTGTCAGGGATTTTAGTGTTTAGACAATCTACTATTACTAAATATGTTTTTCTTGCATATTATTGCTGTTGCAGTCCTCGACTGCCAAATACTAAATTTTTTTTTTCTGTTATGTATTGAATTGTGTTCCTGTCCTCCACTTTATCTGTTGGAATCCTAAACCTCCTGATGTCAGAGCATTTGGAGATAGGGTCTTTAGGAGATAATAAAAGCTATTTAAGATCATAAGGGTAGGCCCTAATCCAATAGGACTGATGTCCTTATAAGAGGAGGAAGAGAAATCGGAGAGGGACTGCACAGAGGAGAGGCCATGTGAGGACACTCAAGGAGGTGGTGGTCTGTAGTCTGGAAGAAAGGCCTCAGGAGAAACCAAACCTGCCAGTGCCTTGATCTTGTCTTAGACTTCCAGCCTCCAGAAAAATGAAAAAATAAATATCTGTTGTTTAAGTCATCAAATCTGTGGTATTCTGCAATGGCAGCCCAAGCTAATATAATCTCTTTCCAAAAAATGAGAACTGTAGGACTAATGATAACTGGCAACCTTCTTATTTGATCTCAGAAATAACCTTTAGCCACATAAACAAGTGACAACAGGTAGGTTGCCACAACCCATCCCAGACTTTCACAGACAACTGCAGAAATGTCATCGATCCTTTTCAACTATGACTGGAAAGTGGTGGTTTGTAGAGATACAAGATGGGAGACAGATCAATGTCATTGCAAGAGCTAAAGCTTGGCTGTATCACTAATAGTTGTAATGTTAAAGGGTCACTGGGCCACAAGTAAAGAAATAAGCCCAATAATGCCAACATGGAAATCTTAAGATATCAAATCTTTCAAATTTCATCTTCTAAAATATATACACCTGTTTTAAAAAAGAATCACAATTTGAAGATAGAATTGGGTGAATTACCAATGTTAATGGCAGTTTCTTGTTTGTCCCCTGTAAGGATCCAGATTTTGATGTCCGCCTTCATCAGCGTTTCTATGGTTTCAGGCACTTGATCTTGTAATTTATCCTCAATGGCTGTAGCTCCAAGAAGTTGCAGATTCTGGGGGAAGAGGAATAGCAAGATTTTTCAGAAGAAAATCAGTTCAGACTCTTCAAGAACAAAAATCTGAAGTGTATATGTTTTAATGAGACCAAGTGATCATGGGCTTCAAAATAAATTGCAACTATGCAATTGAGTTTTCTCTCTTAAAGTACTTCCCTCAAGTACTTTTGGCTTGAGACTGAGCCTCCCTGAAATGACCTGTCTTATTACTTTATTCCTCCCTAAGGAATGGATTTTAACATACACACACACGTGAAAAAAATCATTTAAAAAAGAGCAGGTAGTTATTAAGATAAAATAATAAAAAACTATAACCATCACATAAAGAAGCAATCCTGTCGATCTGTTTGAAAAAGAGTTAGAATATATACTGATACTATTAAATTGTAATTTGATGCAGTGTCAGGAAATATATAGACCTGATACAATTAGAAATGAAGAAGATGGCAATAAACCAAGTGACAGCATTAGTCTCTAAGAATAAACAAGGTGAATGTTTTCACACTGTTTCATGTTTGTGTATGGAACATCAAGTCTATTGAAGATCTCTTGCTCATTACATGGTATATTTCACATGAGACCAAGCACAACCACTATGTTCTGTGGAATGTTGTTCTAATAACTAAGAGCAAAGATTAGCATCTACTCTCATCTTCCTAAAAGGAAGAAAGAAGAGAACAATTTCTGGGCTGTTAGGGAAGGCTGATAGTCAAATGGACAGAGGCATTGGCTTTCGTGGCTGTAATTACATAGGAATGCACAGTGATAGAGTAAGACTTAAACTTTTCTTCCTATTGTTTGAATAAGCATTGTCTTTGACTAGGTACCTTCCTGAAAGTGGTCTGCAAGTCCATCAACTGACCCTCTGATTTCCTCTGTAACCTAACCTTCAGCACAATGTGCTCCAACATTTATCTGTCTTCTCAACCTTTCTCCACACACCTTGCCTTCATTTTAAAATTTAAAATAGATAAGGGCAAAAAGAATACAAGGGGAATTATATACCATGGAGTGTCAGGGTTGACAGTAACAATGAGAAGACATTCTACTTTTTATCATTCTGCTAACATAAATCCTGTTTACTTTTCACCAAAATGGAAGTCTCAAATCAGCTCTAAATCTTGGCAGGCATGGGGAGTAATACTGAATATATACACAAACATATAAGAGTATATGTGTGTGTGTATGTGTAGTTTATGCCTATCTTAGGGATGTTTTAGTTATAAGTTATACAAAAATCTGACTAATATAAGGGTTTAAAGATTAAGTTTTTCTTACATTAAGTATTGGATTGAAATAGGTAGTTGTGGGTGATAGACTGACACTGCAATCATATCTCAACACATTCTCTACCAGATCGCTACATTTACATTAAGTATTGGATTGAAATAGGTAGTTGTGGGTGATAGACTGACACTGCAATCATATCTCAACACATTCTCTACCAGATCGCTACATTTACATTAAGTATTGGATTGAAATAGGTAGTTGTGGGTGATAGACTGACACTGCAATCATATCTCAACACATTCTCTACCAGATCGCTACATTTACATTAAGTATTGGATTGAAATAGGTAGTTGTGGGTGATAGACTGACACTGCAATCATATCTCAACACATTCTCTACCAGATCGCTACATTTACATTAAGTATTGGATTGAAATAGGTAGTTGTGGGTGATAGACTGACACTGCAATCATATCTCAACACATTCTCTACCAGATCGCTCTCAAAGTCTCAAGATGGATTCTCATCTGTAACGAGTCATGATGAAGATAAGAATCAGGGGTATTAACAACTATATTTACCTCTTATTTTAAAAGTATGGGTGTTTCAAAAAGTTCTCAGCATATATCAAAATACAGCCAACTGTATCACACTGCCATCCCTAGGTATTAGTATTTACTTTTTCCAGTCTCTGTAGTGGATGTGGCAAGCAGAAGTGGGATTGGAATGAGTGTTAAATTCATCAGTCAATGTACTTCCACAATGCTTAAACATACCGGGGTATGTATATGTGTTATTATTTGTCTGTATGTGTGTGTATATGTGCATATGTATGGACTTCAACATGTCCCCCACTGCTTTGCCATGTGAAATATAGCTCAACCTATAAAGCCAAACTCAAAAGTGGGTGATTCAAGAGTTCTTTTCCTTCTTAAAACAAGTTTTTCTCTGCTGTAATCTGGTAGAATTTTGCTCATCTTTACATTTCTTAATTATCATATTAAGATTAGTTGTATAATTTGAGACTCAGTTTTTTTCCCCAAGAATAGGAACCATGTATTTTTCATCTTCATGAAGTAGCTCTAGAACATTAACAGTCAGTATTCAGTATGTTTGATGACTAAATACATGGAAAAAAGAAAAAAAATCCAAAATCCAAATGTTATAAATTAATGTTGCAACCCACACCATTTTCTTTTCAATATATTCTAAATAACTTATATAGCAATTAGATAGACTTTGATGCATGACTTCTTAGAATGTAATACATAAGACAGGAAGGCAAATTTCCTTCTTAAAAAAGATAGCATTATTCAAACTGGCCCAGCCCTTATGGAAAGCAGTATAGAGGTATCTCAAAACATTAAATATGGATCTACCATTTGACCCAGTAATTCCACTCCTAGGCATCAATCCAAAAAATTCAAAAAACACTAATTCAAAAGGAAACTTTCACTTCCATGTTTATTGCAGTACTCTTTACTATAGCTAGGCAAACAACCAAACTGCCCTGGAAGAGATGAGCGGATCAAGAAGATGGAATACTACTCAGCTATCAAAAAGGGAAAACCCCTGTCATTTGTGGCAATATGGACAGAGCTTGAAAAGATAATGCTAAGTAAAATAAGTAAGGAGAACGATAAATACTGGAAGGGGTCACTAATATGTGGTATATAAAGTAACAAAAGAAAGCTGAAAAACTAATCCTTAATAACTGACACACCACAGGGGGAGGGCTGAGGAAAGAGAAAGAATGAGGAAGGAAGGAGGCATAATGGTCTGTGGTGGTGGAGTATGGGCGAGTTGGTGGGTGTGCAATGTAATACCTGGTCATTATGTAATACCTGCAATGTAATACCTGGTATTACCAGCAGGTAATACCTGGTCAGGATACCCCAATGTTACCTCAGTTAACAATAATTAAAAAAAAGGATAGCATTATTTTATTATCTTTAATTAGGAGCAGATTTGAAATCTATCATAACCTGGTGAAAACTATCATCAGTAAGTTAAAGAATAAAAAGAAAGAACAGTCGATGTCAGCTATACCAACATAATAATTACTGTTTTTCAACATTTAGGCAATAATCTCATCAATTCTTCCGTCACTGTTAGGCTAGTTGCAGCTAAGTCATTCTGGCCCACCTCCCAGGGAAGATCAGGATATAGCTGCATCCAAATTGCAAATATTCTAGAAGTTAATAAGATTTTTAAATGATCATGGGGATTAGCTCAGAAATACAAACCCTCAAATTTTCCTAAACCAAAAATTAGCTTTTGTACTATGCTTACAAAACTCTAAGGTAACTAGATAATGTGAAAGCCAAGTTGTAAGTCCATTCATTACAAATACATGAACGAATTTATTTGTATGTTCCCTGTCTCTACTCTATGTGGAGATGTGAACCTAGGAAGCATACAGGTATCTATTACCAGATTAATAAAAATAAAATGTCTCACTGGGGAGATTATGATGAAAACATATCTGAAAGAGGGGAAGTACCTGGCTTTATGCAGCAGGTAAAAAAAAAAGAAAGATTTTTAGAACCAGGTGAAAATAATATAAAAGAGCAGAGATAGAACCAGCAATGTATACAGGCTAAGAAAAGTTACAAGTAGGTTAACTTGGAGTGTGGTCATGGCTGTGATATTGGGAACTTCTGAGAAGAGGAATGAAACATTTCTGGACACTTGGTAAAACTGCAGTGGGTCTACTTTGATGCCTAGAAAGAAAAAAACTTGCAAAATTGATTCCTTTTCTATTTATCTAGGATCTCCTGGAATACAGCACTTAACTAGTTATAGTGGGGGCCCTGCAGCCTCTTTTCCTTTGGATCTGCTGTCATTTATGGTAAGATTAGGATCTTGGGTGATTGGCTGCTCTGCCTCTGGAAATTAATATCTACCTACATAATGGTCATTAAAAAAAGATGTGAACTTTACATGCTTTTCCTGATCATAACACATAAGTGTTTAGGATGTAATCAATTTCATCCCAAACATGTATTACCTTACACAGATGGCCACTAATGGGCACTGTGGGAATTATAGATTCAGCAAGTGTTGAAACATGATAAAATTCCCATGGCATTTATGGAATTAAAAAACCCCAAATACTAATTTTACTTTCAAAATGTCACATTGCCAGAGTTATAAAGGTTTCAGATTGATGACTCTTTGACATAATATAGACTTAGTTATCACTGAAAAATCATGAAATAATATTTACTGACCTAGCAAAGCCCTTGATAATCTTATTTTTTTCTTTCAAAATTAATAATTACACAGAATTTAAAAAAAGGCGTAGAAATACAAAATTTCTACCCTAGTGAAGATCAAAAGCTTCATGCAGAGTATTCAAAAACTATATGGTAAATATATTATGACAGCTTTAGAAATTATGTTTTTTCTAGTACATGTATATTTTGCTAAATAACAGAACCTCAAAATGACTTACTACCATATTAGCAAATTTCTATCAGTGCCAAAGGTTATTTTGTACTTTTAAAAGTTTACGATATGCTCCTAAATGAGAAAAAGTGTAATAATCAGACTCATAGCAACTTAGGCTTCAGATTACAACATACACTATTTGGCAGAAGTTTCTTTAAAGACAAGGAAATTATAAATAGTAAAGTTCTCAGAGTAAATATGGATAAATATGGATACTAGTAATATTTGGTAATCTTTATTTCAACATGAAATAAAATTATTACTTGGAAGATGAAAACATATTTCCTTAACATTTCCAAGTTCAGTTAATACCTC